CCACAGTCTCATGAAGGAGGGACCAAGCTGAACCAGGCAGGGAGGTCCAGTATGGACATCTTGGGACAGTAAAGCATTGTGACATCATCAGTGATGGTCTCAGACGGTTTCCCACTGCTGGCGCTCCACTCTCAGCTATTACTGCAAGTCCATTCCTCTACCATGAGTGTGGAGCAGCTAAAATCAACAGATCCACATGTACCTTGAGGTGACAGACTGGCTCTGGTGAATATTCCCATTTTCCTATTTAGAGGGTGACCCACTAGAATACTGCTTTTGTTAGCTCTCTACTATGAGGAGGACAACGGTATCCAGTTTCCTAGGGACATTCCTTGAGGTTTATTCCCTTGTCCTAATTAAGGATTCCTCTTCAAATGGTTCAGAATATGGGGGAAGAGCCTCAGGCAGTCACTTCTTTGGCATCACTGGTAACATTTGTCAGTGACAAGAGAGCCCCAAACCTTTCAGCTCTTCCCCTACTCTAGTGAGTTTGGTGTGAATTTGGGACCATGGCTCACACTAGACAGCCCTGCCCCGAGGCTCTGCTTTACCCTTTAAAAAATTATAATTCTGAACTGATAAAATCTAAATGTTATGTTTCACTCAAACTAAAACAGTCTCATTTACTCTTAACATATTTATAAATAGGCAAGCTTGAATTCAATAAGCACATTTATGTAAATGTTGGGCAAAACTGAGTCCACTCAAGTTAAGAGTGGGAGGGTGCTGGCTGTGCATCCAGACTAGTGCCTTTGAACTGTAACTGTGTCTACATAGTTACCCTGCAAGCTTAATTTTAGCTAGATGAACTACCAGAAATGTTAGCAATCTGTCTTTTCAGATTACTTATGCTCTTTCTTTTTGCAGAAAGATAGATTTTGAAAGTATGAGATCCTTGGTTTTACATGTTTAAACAGACTTGCAACAATTTTATCAGCAAATATATATGTCTTAACATGAATTTTAAACTTTGAAGGCAACAATCATTTTCAAATAGTTGCATGTTTTACCTTGAAAATTATGTACAAATACCAAATATTACTTTGTCTATATAGCTATAGGTATACAGTGACTATATATGTGTGTATGCACTCATTATACATACACATAGGTATGTGACATATACATATGTGTATCTGTATATCAACATCTTTTTCTATATCTATGTGTGAATACAGATTTCTAGTGGGGGAGAGGGAGAATGATAGTGAATTCTGGCTAGATGTTTCCATCTTATTTCCTGCTATATTGAGATTGTCACTGCAGAAAATAATCTTTACAAATTCTGTACTTAAAAAAACCTCAAGTTCTTAAATTAAATACTTGAAACCTCATGGCGAGAGTGATATGAACATGTTAATTAATATTCTTTAGTTAATTAAATCATGTAATTTATGCTTTATCTTTAGGAATTTTCCATTTAACAATAATCAGGACAATTTTAACAAGTATGTTTCTCTCACTTAACCACAATGACTGAGTAATGATTCTCCATTTGACATTCAGTACTGTAGCTTGGAAGTGCAGTAATGGGTACAGTTGCTACTACATTTACCATCTGACCATATGGTATAACATACATCTGCCAAGGAGTAAAGACATCCCATTACAATAACAAACAATACAGGCACAGTCTTAAGGCAGATCAAAACATTAGTCAGATATCATCTTTCTTTTAATTTATCCAAGTATTACCATGGAGTATGTATATATGTATATATATATCTCCTATATTCAAGGCACTCATTTTGACACTTAACACTCAGAGATGAATGCTACTGAGTGTTCTGGCCTGGAGCAGCGCACAGTCTGGCAGGGGAGGTCATGGAGGCAAACATTATCATATATGATGTCATAAGCATAATAGAAGTGTATATAAGCTGTCACAGAAGTACAGAAGGAGAAATATGCCTGGTGGAATGCAAGGAATAAGGTCAGGAGCTTATCACAGAGAAGATGGTCTCTGAGTTGAGCATGAAGGTTTTGGGTAGGAAATAACAGTGAAGTGGTTAAGATAATAGAGTCTGTTGCCAGACTGCACACATGCTAAGTCGCTTCAATTTTGTCTGACTATTTGCAACCCTATGAACTGTAGTCTGCCAGGATCCTCTGTCCATGAGATTCTCCAGACAAGAATATTGGAGTGGGTTGCCATGCCCTCCTCCAGGGGACCTTCCCAACCCAGGGATCAAACCCACATCTCTTATGTCGCCCATATTAGTAGGTGGGTTCTTTACCACCAGTGCCACCTGTCTGGGTTTAGATCTCAGCTTTACTACTTATCAGCTGAAGAACATCTGGCATGTTACTCAACCTCTCTGTGCTCATTTCTTCCTTGGTAGAGTGGGTATAATCTTTGCACACACTTCAGAAGGTTGAAGGAAATGGCAACCCACTCCAGTATTCTTGCCTAGAGAATCCTGTGGACGGAGGGGCCTGGTGGGCTGCTGTCCATGGGGTTGCACAGAGTTGGACACGACTGAAGCGACTTAGCATGCATGCATGTGTAGGGTTGAAGTGAGGATTATGTGACTTAGGCTGTGTATGGTTTTAACACAGTGCCCGGTATACGGAAAGCCCTCAGTCAGTCTTAGGCTGCTACCCAGAGATAGTAGAATGAGAGATGGCAGGCTTGGGTTGTTAAAACAAATATGAGGTGCATTTGTGTGGAAGGGGGTGGAAGATTGCAAGGTTAGTGGACAGAATACGGGGAGAGAGCCTTGTATGCCACACCAAAGGGGCTCACATTTATGGAGCCCAATGAGAATGTTAAGGATGAAATTCAGATTTGTGTTATAGCAAGAGAAGTCTGAAACAGCAGGGAAAGACTAGAGGCCAGAACTTGAGTTAAGAGGCTACTGATGAGAAGAAATATAATAGAGGCTTGGCTATAGAAGGATAGAAGATAGAGTGCAGATTCAAAATTATTTAGGAGGTGAAACTGATGAAGTTCTGTGAGCAATTAGATTAGTGGGATGAAGTAGAAGGAGTCGTGAATGACTTAAATTTCTGACTTAGCTGATCTGAGAAAAAGACAGGAGGAAAAGCAGATTTGTAGATAAGGTTTTGGATCTGTCAAGATTGACAGGCTGGTGAAGTAACCAAAATTAGTGTGCAGGCCTGCCACTCAGGACCTAGAAGTCAAGATTTAGGACTCCTGAAGATATAGATAATAGTTGACATTGTGGAACTGTGAGTGAGAGCATGACACAGCTCATATACAGAAGAGATTCAGGGATAGTTCTGAAGAGCCTACCATTTAAGACAAAGAGAGCTGAGCCAGCAAAGGAGAGTGTCTCATAGCAAGGAGGAAACATAGTAAAAGGTGGAATCATGGAACATAATGCAGAGGGAATCTAAGGTGAAAGTGTTCAAAGGCAGTAGACAGGTCAGGTAGAATGAGAAGAACTGTTTGTTGGAGGTGCTCTTGTTTAGTCAACAAGTCATATCTGACCCTTTTGCAACCCCATGGACTGTAGCCTTTCAGGCTCCTCTGTCCAAAGGATTTTTCTGGGAAGAATATTGGACTGGGTTGCCATTTCCTTCTCCAGGGGATCTTCCTGACCCAGGAACTGAACCTGCGTCTCCTGCATTGGCATGTGGATTCTTTACTGCTGAACCACCAGGGACGCCCTTGCTGGAGTTGGCAGTCAGGAAAAAGAGCTTAAGAAAACCCAAGAGTGAAGTATAAGTTTGCGGAAAGACAGACAGTGAGTACTCTTCATTAAGACCCTAGATGTTACTTGATATTTCAGGTTAAATGCTAGGTGAATTCCTGGAAGGAGAACATCTATGGCTGTGGTCCAGCTTCAGGCTTGCTGCATTAGGTAGATCTGGTCTGTCTTTACCGAATATTTTTCCAGGGCTGAGCAAGGAGTCTGGGACATTAATATGTGCACATTGAAGGCTGGTGAAAACAATGGATGTATGCTTATTGGTAGCCAGGGATGGGTCCTGGCAGAGTCCTAGGAGCTCCTGATACATGGCTGCTCCAGGAAGTGTCAGGAGGCCCCCTGGAATAGCCAAAGAAGTTTTGATAAGAATTTCAAAGCCATGAAGTCATTGGGTTGATCCCACAGCCTATGCTAGTATTAGGAGGGAAAAGGATGTTGGTGAGTACAGTGATAACAGGTGAGAATTATAACACTTCCACTCAGGTTTGTTCTGTACTGAAATACAGATTTTTTGGCTTCAGTCCTACATGTGATTTTTTAAATGTTTGCTTTATTACCTGTTATCTTATTTCCTTCCTTTGTGAAAGCGTCTCATCTCTTTAACAGGATAGTCACTTGTTTAAGGTCAGGGACCACTCCAAAGAATCTTTTGTACTCCCTGTAGCACTTGATTCCCAGCAGAAAATCCAGGTACCCTCAGACTCATCAGATTTATAACCAAGACTGTCAACCCTTGGTTTAAAAAAAAAAAAAAAAAAAGTTCTTTATTTTCCAAACTTATCATAGGAAGGTTGACCTAAGCGGAAAGCAAGCGGAAGGCACTGATATCCGCCACCAGAGTGGCATGAATGAGGCCCAGAAACCTCAATCCTCCTAGCCTGGAACCCTAGGGCCATCCCACTGGTCTTCCTGTGGACACAGGTCTGGGAAGAGTCTGGGCCATTCTAAAGGGCATTCCGGCTCCCACATGGCTAGACCATGGTTTCCTCTGGTATGTCCACGTGGGGGACCCGATGCAGTCCAGATACTGGACTGGGATAAGAAAACCCTTGGGGGTAGGAGGTGTTTTCACTATTTTCTCCACCCCCCCCCCACCCCCCCGTCTTTTGGTATTGATGGGAAGGGGTGGTTTGGGTAGGATCTAGCGCGTCAGTCCTAGCCCTTCCAAGTGGTCCCCGGCTGCTCAAGTCTTCGGCCACCGCTCTTCCCCTCCTCGAGTCGGTGGAGACCCGGCCCGGCAGTCCGACGGCGTAAGGAGCGCGTAGGCAGCGTAGGTGGTGTCCCCTGGCTCCCCACACGCCGGGGGCCGCCGGGCGCGGCGGGAGGATGTCTGCGCGCGCGGTGCGTGCGTCGCCCCCTGCCCCGCCCGCACCCCCCCGCCCCGCACCCGGGGGGACCCCCGCGCCCGGGGGAAGCCCCGCGCGGGGCGCCCGCCGCCCGCCCCAGTCCCTCCGCCTCCCGGAGGCCCGGGGCTGCCTCCTCGGGCCGCGCCGGGGCCGCCCCGCACTGCGCATGAGCGGGAGCCCGGCGAGCCCGTGAGAGGAGCCGCCGCCGCCGCCGCCGCCGCCGTCCATTCGCTGCGGAGCCGGAGGAGGAGGGGAGAGGCCTGGAGGACACCAACATGGTGAGGCACTGCGGCCGCCCGCCCCGCCGGCTGGGGGCCGGCGCAGCCGCGCACCCTCGCCCCGGCCGCCCTCCGGCCCGCGGCGACCCCGCCGCCCCGAGCTTCGGCCTGCGGCCTCCGTCCCGCTCCCCGGCGGGGCTCTCCTCCCTGCCTCTCCCTTCCTCCTTCTCCCCTTCCCGCCCGGGCGCCGCCGCTACGCGAGAGCCGAGGAGGCGGAGCGGAGCCGGGCCTAGTCGGGAGCCCCGGGGAGTTTGGGACGCGGGGAGCGGCCCCCGGTGCCCCTCGCTGGGCCCAACGCGGCGGGAGCAGGCGTTGGGGCGGGGGGAGGGGATGGGGCAACGGCCCGGTCCCTGCCCGGCCCCCACGCCGGCTCTATTGTGTCTGGCCGGGGACCGGGGTCTGGGGTTCCGGGTAGGAGGCTCCCCCGCCCGGAGCCGGGGCTTCCCCCTCCGCCCCGCCGGGGAGAAGGAAAGACTTTCCCGGCGCTCTTCTCCCTCCTCCGCTCCGGCTTCAGCACCCCTCAAGTCTCCAGGCAGTTTTGCTTGGGGCGGGGTAACAGCCCTCTTCTTTCTCCATCACCTCTCGCTACGTCCCGTGCTCTTGGAAAATGGGAGTTTCACTGGCCAGTTGGTGGAGGTTATATTTACCTCTTCTGAGAACATGAGAGACCGCTGAGGTGGGGGGACGTTGGGGGAGGGGGGAAGTACGGAAGTGCAACCTGTTCTCATTTCATAAAATTAGGAGAAACAGACTTGCTACCTTTTGAGCACATATTTTGTTTCCTTGAGGTGGGAGGAGTAATTGCTTTATTATGCCAGTTAAAGACCATTTGTGATTTTTAAAAAACAGTTTGTCAAGTTAATCCCCTCTGCTTTTTTGTTTGGAAAACGTCCTACAAGCTTCAAGACGTGGTGTTCAAGTTATCTGTTTACAGTTTGGTAATAATGTACCTGACTCTTGGACTTTTTGTTTTTCAGAAGCAATGTTTGGCATTGTAGTCTGAGCATGAGTTGAATTCCATGCAGGTTACTGTATGAATAGACAGTAAAAGTGATATTATTGTCCTTTTGCTCATGGGGAACATAAAGGCCTCTTTGAGGAGAGTGTATGTGTGTCTGCTCCAGTGTCTTTGTTTTTGGTTTGTCTTATTTCTGCTGAATGACACTTAACTCGTCTCAGCCTCCAACTTAGCAGAATTTTGGTGTCCTGTATGAATATGTGGTTTAGTTTGCCATGTACTCAAGACCTAGGTTCTGCGGTAAGTTCCATGAAAGCTGACCATTTGTATTTGTAAGAAAACTTTGCTATAAAGTACTGGTTAACGTTTAGGCAGTGTCAAAGATCGAGCAGGGCGGCTAAACAGTTTCCAATTTCTTAAGTATTTTGACGGTCATAGATGTTACTCCTAAAGTTTCCAGACGCTTGGCTTGTAGGAGTAAGCTTGAAGTAATGAAATGTAATTCCCTGGTAAACACTCAGTGAGCCCATCGAAATGCGTTCTGTTCATAATAGCCTCCAGTCACCATTATCCTCTGGAATCCAAGGTGTTGATAATACTCATTACCTGTTCATGAATTCAGGATTCACCTGATTCAAATGAGAGTTCACCTTGTATTGGGACCCATAAGCTTTTGTCCTTTTATTGCTATTGAAGTAGCTAGTTTTGGAACTTAGCCATAACTCATTTAATTACACTAGTAATGGGAAGATATTACTAATTTAAAACACTTTTTTTTGTGGCTGAACTCAGATCATGTCACCAGAATTGTCTTGGTATACTTTTGTTAGTTTGGAAGCTAAATCACCTCGGGCTCTAAAAGAATTGAGGCCATAAGAATTTTCTAGTTTTTCATTGTAAATTTATTTTACTTATAATTATTTCTTGATACAATGTTGGGGCTAATGTTTCTCGGTGTAACGTAGTCCATTTCTAGAGCACATGGTATATTGTCACTCCTGGGATTTGGGGTCAGACTTAAATGATGGAATATCTGAATTTTTTTTTAATATCTATTTTGTGTAGGAAACATGTTCATTTAACCTACCTGACACCCACATAGAAAGGTCCAAAATAGCTCCAAAACTAGACAATATTTTGTTACTCCTGAAAATCTTTTTAAAAATAGTGTTTGACTTCTGGCTTGTTTTCTTATTTGTAAGAGACAGGATTTGATCAGGGTACATTCAGCTAAAATCTTTGATTTTAATGATTTTTCTTAGATGTGTGAGAAGTTGTAAACTGTGTAACCTGCTAGATTTTTATAGACTCACAGCATCATGAAATTTTTAGACCTGAAATATATCTTCAGAGATCATCTAATTGACTCCTCTTCCCTTTTACAGAAGAATAAATTGAGGCTCAAAGAGGTTTTGAGGTTGAAGCTTGCAAAATTGTTAATTGCAGAACTGAAACTAATTTTTCCTGGTTTTACTATTTTCCCCAGTACTTCTGGTACATACAGTCTTAGCTCACATGAAATCTAGTGAAATGGTTGAAAATTGATTTGAAATTAATTTATTCATTTAAACAGAGGGAAACCCAAGTGTTATTAATGAATATGTTAAATAACCAAATTTAGATGAGTGGTTAGTGCTGTTAATTTACTATGTTTTTAATTTTTTAAAAAATGTGTGGACTTTGAAATTTAAGATTATATTTTCAACAAATTTCAGAGTTTGTAAGTGTAGATTAATGTAGGCCTGTTCAAGGTTGTCTTCCTTTTGTTTCACATTGTTTTGCATATACATAAGTAGATTAAGGGAGAGCCTTAATTAATTTTAATAATTATTTCTTATATGCCTACTGTATGCCAGGCAGTGTTCTGGGCACTGGGGATGTGGATATATACACATAGACAGACAAACACATATATATATATATGTGTGTGTGTACACACACACACATATATATATATTTTTCCCCCCCTTGAGATAAAAATCCCTGCCCTGGTGAGGGTTGCATTTTTACTAGGGAGAGAGAAATAATAAGCATAGTATATATTTTTTCTTCCTTACTGTGTGTTAGAAAGTGTTAAGTGCTTTGGGAGAAAAGTAGTGTTGGGTGGGGGGAATTGGGAGTGCTGGGGCACAGTAGAGTTGGAAGTGCAAAATGATGTTTGCACCACTGATGAAGTAGATTTTGAGCTGACTGGGAGATGAGGGAATAAGCCACCCAGAAATGTGGTCAGAGAGTTTGAGGAACAGTGAGTCCAGTGTGGCTGGGGGAGAGGGGCATGTTGGGCATTGGAGCAGATGAGGTCTGAGTGGTAAGGAGTGGAGACGGGCATGGGTGGACATTGGAAGGATGTTGTGTTTTTACTCCAAGAGAAATGGGAAGCCAGTGAAGGATTCTGAATGGTATGATAGACCTTGTCTTACTGTCTCATAGTGTCCTGTTACAGTTGTAGATAATTACGTCCCAAGCAGTTTTTAAAGACAAGAAGAAATGCAGCTTCTGTGTGAATTTGAATTCTGAATAAGGTGACTGCCCAATATTTAATAAATACTAGATGAACATCAAGTTTACCTGGCCATGCTAGTTAATAAAAACAGCACAGTACAATCTCTTTTGTAGGTTGTTTTTGAGTATGTATTAGTTGGCATGTCATTTAATGACTATGCAGAAAAACTGGACCTTTGGGGAGAAAGGAGGATATTAGTGTTTATTGAGAACATACCCTCTGCTAGTCAAACAATTCACAGCTGTTTTTTATCTCCACTCCAATTTGTGGGATAGGTATTGCTACCTCCTTGTATCATGTCTGAAAAAGTATGTTCATCGTTTCTAAAGAGATGACCAAGGTAAAGAGCTAGTATGTGAGAGAGCAGGGATTAGAAGCCTGGTCTCTGGTTACACACTTTGTCTACCCCTCCTCTTTTTTTTTTTTAAACCCAGCAAGCAGCCTTTTGGTATGGGTGTGGAATTTTTGATTGATTTCACTCTGGTTTCTTCCTTATATTGAATAGTGACCTTGTTGTTTCCATATCAAATCAAATGATCTGATGTAAACACTTAAGTAATTGAAAAATTAGAACTCTTTTGGTACATGTGGTTAAAAAGTTGAAAGTAAAATTAACTTGTGGTGGTGGGGCTTTTTTTTTTTTAAAGTTTTAAAAGAGCTGAGCTTATTTGAGTCAAGTGGCTCTTTTGACTTCATAGGTTGAGTCAAGCATAATGAAAATCTGTGTGAAAGCCCCCTTTTAAATTTGAGTGTGTGTTGCTCAAGTTGTGATAGTATTAGCCATGACATTTGATGAAGAGAGATAGTTCCAAATAGGATTCAGTTGCTTTGTGGACACAAACAAGCTCTTGAATAACCTGCTGACTATCTAGTTTACCTAGTCACTTTAGATGTATGTCCCCACCTAAGAAAAAGCCAAAACAAAAGGGAGAAATGCCACTGAAGTGTCTTTCATCATTTTGTTGAATCCATTTTATATAATTAGTACCCAGTAAGAGTGATTAGACTGCTTATTTGCATTGTAAAATTTTAAGAGCGGTTTTACTTTTAAACAGTTTTTTTTGCTAAAGAGTTCTATTGCAATCCATTTTCGAATCCCTTAACACTGAACAGTGTTCAGCAACAGAGGTTTAAGTTGAAGTACATGGCCTATTCCTTTGTAATATTAGGATGTTTGTATTTTAGCAAACATTCAAAGCACTTATTTATTATTCAAGGATTTTAATATTTCTAGGTTTAGGAATTGAGTAGACACCAAATTTTTGAATTAGGAGATTTCATTTTTCAAGGATCATTTATTCTCTTTGTGAAACAAATATCCATGACGGTTGAATGCTAGTCATTATTATAACTTCTTTAACTGTGAGACTTTAAAAATCTCATTTAATTCTTCGTTATTTTGTTTTCACCTTAGTAATCTTTTTGTTAATATGAGATTTCATTAGAAAAGATGTTTGTGGAGAGAAAGAGCAAATTTAAATTAGCTGCCTTGCCTACATGTTAGATGTTTTGGCTTTAAGTTTGGGATATGAGTTGAAATATGATGACTAACTCAAGTGCTTTAAGGAGGTTATTTCTGTCCTATTATCAAAGGTAATCAGGAATTTTAGCAAAAATAACTTTTTAATAGTCAAAACAGTCTTCTCTAAACCAGAATCAAAACATTTATTAATTTACAGTTGTAGGCATCTTTTGAAAAATAATTCTGAGGTTGGGAAGAAGAAAACTCCTTTAAACTTTGACCAATGGAACATTTTTAAAAAACCTTTCAGATACAAAAGAGGTACAAAAAAAAAACCTAAGATACAAAACCAGTTTGGATCTTACAAGTGTACTTCTGAAATATTTTTTCAGGTGAATTGCCATTATATAAAACATCATTAGGTACAGTGATTACATAGTATAGTACATTATTCCACTTTTGACTTAGAACTAGTGCAGCGTATCTCTAAGAAGAGTTCATTTTAATTGTCATTACAAGTGCAGGAAGTATATGGATGAATGATGAGAGCCACAGACCTAAGTAACTGTTCTAAACTGCAGATTATAATTTAGGTGGATACTGAGGCTTTGGAGTTTCGTTTTGCTTAATATTTGAAATTGTACACATTTGATTCTATTTTCTGGCTATAACCTGTATATGTTCTGTTTCTTCTCTGAGTTTTGAACTTTCTAATTGGAAAAGGAAACCCTTACTTTCCCTAGTTTTCCCCTTTGTATAGTTAAAGCTATAGATTGTGGCCATGTTTTTAAAAATAGACTATGACAGGACAGTAAACACATTTTTCTTTGAAATAGTCTATCCATCTCTTCTCCCCTATTCCCCTTCCCCCAAAAACCTAAAAGGAAGTTCTACCCCTAAAATAGTCTTTTGGTTAATAAGGGAATGCTTAATGTGCAATTTTTGGTCAGAATGCACTTGAAAGGAAAAAGGTCAGTTGATTAGTTATTTAACTTTCCATAAAAATAGGTGAAGAAATATTGCTCACAATTCCCTTCTCCCCACAGTGCACACAGTAATTGCTCAGTGGTTGCACTTTTGCCCTTTATGTTTTTTCTCTCACTTAACGACAGTGTAAAATAATGGAAAAACTGCATCCCTTGAAGCTAGGCACCAGGGTTTCATTTCTGGTTCTGCTACATTTTGGGTAAGTCTGTCTTTAGGTAAAAGGAGCTCTGAGTCTTGATCTCCACATTGGTTAAAAAAAAAAAAGAATCAATGATAGGCAGCTTGGACAATTATTTAATAATTAAATACCTAGCACAGAGTTGGCACACAGTAGGAGCTCAAATGTTA